AAAGGCAGCGGTGACAGTTAAAGGTAATGGGCATACAGCTGACAGTTTGGGAATGACATCCTGATGTGTCATCCTCAAACATCCGGAGAATTCCCCCCTCCCACGTTCCCGGTCTATATCCTCACCTACGGACTTTAGGATGGCCCAGGAAATTCCATGGCTCTTCAATTTGTTGTCGGTGGGGCTCCCTGTTCTCTTATTGATGGGTTTCTAGGTCAGCAGGCCTTTGTGGCTTTCAGCAGGCCCCACAAAGACTCCCAGATGGGCCCTCTCAAGATGGGGCCTATTGTGGCTGTGTTTCTATGGGATCCTTACAAATGGAACCTCCAGGAGTCATTAGGCTGCTGAGGCGGGGGGGTAAGGGAGGGTGTGGGAGGTGGCGGGGTATACGAGCAACAGGGGGTGGGGGACGGTCATATCTTTGAGGTAGATCAGTCACTCTGGACAGTCACGGGATGATCCCCCCCCCCCCCCCCCTCCTTTTTTTTTCCTGAACGCTTATTCTGAACGCCTCTGCTTAATATGCCTTCAAACGGGGGAGAGCGAGTGCAAGAATCCTGAATCATATCTGCAAAAGCTGCAGGGGGAGGAGACAAAATATCTAGGTCAGAGTGTTTTCCCCCTTGTATGAATCTTTGGTCTATGAAGTATTATTATTTATACTGAGCAGTTCAAATTCATTTAGGTCACACTGCACGTAAACAAAATATTGACACTTATTGAATGACTTGAGCTTTAAAATAACTGAATCCCCATTGTAAAATACTGCTACAATCAGCATCTGTCATGCCCCATATACTGTATATGTTTGACATATCTCTATCTCATATTAAGCTTCAACATGGGACCACTGTTCCTCTTTATCAGTACAGTCTGTTGGTGCCAGACAGTTTTTTTGAGACTGATATCTTGACACATTAAAAAATGCAGTTTTTATACAGATGCACCTGTCATTTGTGGACAGATGACTTGGTCTCTTGCTTTTACAAACATTTTATTGCATTCTGTATTGCGTGTACCAGCACTTTTAATGTCTTCAGTTGCCTTATTATCTTTTTTTATGTTCATCTTTTAAGTTGTTATGCTGCAAAAAACATTTTCCTCTTGTGGGACAATAAAGATCTGCACTGACCTGAACTGCATGCTGCAATGATCAGTCGATTAATGGATAAGTTGTCAATTATTAAATTAATTGCCAACTATTTTGATAATTGAGCCATCGCTTTGAGTCCTTTTTTAAAGAAACAATTCTCTGATTTCAACTTCTCAAATGTGAATAATTTTCTTTTTTTTTTTTCTTTTTTTTAAAAGTAAACTAGTTATGTTTGGGTTACACAAAAGAAAACATCTGAGGATGTCATCTTGGACTTTGGGAAACACTGATCGACATTTTTCACAATTTTCTGGACCTAACAACTAATCGATTAATTGAGAAAATGATTGACAGATTAATTGATAATTGTTAGTTACAGCCCTACAACTTAATATAACCTACCTTTATAGAAGTGTTTGTAATTGTGATTAAGTAACTTCAGTGTTGATGTCTTTTCCTTACATGTTGTCATACAATATCACTGCATCTCCTGTAGTTACTCTTAAGTATAAATATGTTGTACTTTCTACAACTATTAGGCCTGCTTAGTTTGTTAGAGAGGTAATTATGACAGACTACTTTTAAAGTATTTGGTACAGCCTTCTACATAAATATTAAAACTATGCCAAAAACTAAGATCATTCTTATTCACTGTGCACTTCTAAGCTTTGAAATATTTAAACATGTAAAACAATTAGGCCGCATTTAATAGTAATTATTATGGGTACGTTAAAGGAAAAACACATTCCCTTAATGTATTGAAACCATACATGGTCAACATAATAAGGGATGCTTTGTTCTTTCTCTTACAAAAACACAAGAGATGAGAGATCTTCAGACAGCAGCCATACTGGGCTGATCCCCCTCTGGTTGACAAATCAGGACGGACAGCTCAAGACACTTCAAAGGCAGACAACGACCAGTCTGATAATTTTATGTCTGTGTCTCACAAACAGGCGATCACGACTAAAGGGGCAGACTGTAGGAGAAGAACGCCTGAAACAAACACAAACAAACACACCCCGCCACCCCCCACCCACTCACACAATAAAACAGACAGCACAGTGTGCACACACACCATAGGCACACACACACACAAACACACACACGCGCGCACCGCTCTTTCACAGAAAAACACAAGAGCGCTCACACACGCATTTCACCTTTACTGTGTCTCTCATTACCAGATGAAACCAACCGTACATTGATTCACAAAATGGAAGGGAAGAACGCATTAGTGTATAATCACTGACTCCTGCATCGATTGGGGGGGTGAATTAAAGGGCAAAGCAATATCATCAGTTGGTATAGGCTACACACAAATTACAGCTTCAAGGGGAAACAAGACTACCTTAACCTTACTGTCTACCAGTGCATATAGCCTAGCCTATGATGAATGATAATAACAATAATAATACAGTGGGAGACATTTATGTCCCTAGAAAACGCACTTGCTTTGAATGTACTCCCGAAAACTTCTGCAGATGAGCATATCAATTGAGGATCAGAGCGGAAGTGTGAACACCTGGGATTCTAACTAGAGACCTTCAGGTCATTAGTCTATTTGCCATTCTGCTAGACACTGACACGCTAACCACAAAAAAGCCTAAGAACATGAAAGGCAGTATCATTAGCTGTGGCATGCTAAAAAGTTTTACTGAATTCAGTTTTGGGAGTACATTAGATTTGGATATTGACATGAGTATATAAATAGTATGCTTAAGTGACATTTTAGCAATACATTAATGTAGTGTCATTTAAAATCTGTACAACATCTTGACTTAAAAGAGCTACAATGAGCTGCCAAAAAGCTTAACGCTATAATGCTACAGGCAACAGTAGCATATGTGCATCTGCCAGGCTTAATGTATTTAACTTATGATGCATCTTTCTGAACAACAATACACCAACTTCAAACAACTTCTGTTGTAACAGTAGTTCATTACTTGAAACATTTTTTCCATGGCACACGTCAGAGCAAATTAAAGCACATTGCTTCAGGTATTAAAACATTGCTTTAAGAACTATGATGAACACATCAAACTTGCTCATGAAGCCTAAAGACAAAAAGGCTAATTGTAGTTCAGGAAGAGTCAACTGCTGTTGTGTATTGTGTACCATGGAGTCACATACACACTAGTCACCCCAGGCTATGTAACCTGACATGTATTATTTGCTCAAAGTTAACCTCATTTATATATAAAAGAAAACTATAACATAAGAGTTTGGCAACTGATAAAAATTTAGGAAATTATCCAGAAAAATTAATCACCAGCGGATATAGTTATAATGTCTAATTATATAGTTTAGACTTATTAAGTATCTATTAAAAATGTACTTGTAATTAAAACAGTGTTGTAGTGTGCGAGGCTCACCTATAAGAAGTACTGTTCCGACTGCTAACCCACCACCTGTTTGTGAAGACAAAAAAAAAAACAATAATATATGCGAGGGTTGAATAATATATCAGTCAAATACTACAGACACCATATTACTGTAAATGTTGTCAGTGATACCTAGATATCTGAAGAGGCGTCTCAAATATTTTATTTTCACACTGGTTATGGCAAAGGTATCACTAACCCAGGTAAAAACCTGAGACCACTTGTAAGCTAAGATCATTCCAGTCCTTGGTGATTCGGACTGCTTTATTAAATTCAAAATTTTTATTTAACCCATAATGCTAGTGAGTTCTGCTAGACCTTGCTCCTGTGTGCTAGTGCAGGCGAGAATATGGCTGGTAGTCATGGACTAAAGAGGCCAGGAGAACAATGTTTTACCTCATTTTAAAGATATCCAAAGTGTTCTCTACCAGAGAACATTAGTGTCTTTACATTATAATAGTTCAAAGTACCAAAGTGATATTCCTCATAAAATATTTGAAGAAACCATAATAACTGCATTTACAGAGAAAAAGTCCTCATCATCAGACTTAAGTTCATCAGTGCCCAGCTCTATCAACTTGACACCTTTGTTGTGCTTATGACATACCAAGGGAGTCAAGTTGTGATACAGTTTCCTTTCTAAGTTTATGTTATGAATGATCTATTTCATATTATACCAACCTAAACAGCTTATCATTTGATATTAGCTAGGTGGATTTTGGCAGTCTTGATACTGAAACATGGCATACCAATTCTATTAAGACATTTGGTTTGTGAAATGACAACTTTCACACGAAAATGCATTAAAATTAAACAGGACTATCAATGTTTTTTAGGACTGTTTTGGTCCTTGGTGGCTTCATACAGCTTTGAGAATGCTACATTTGATTTCTGACATCAGCTACACTTAAAACAAATACCTTTCCGCGGGCCACGAACAATTCAGTGTAAAATGATAGTACCTTAAAGGAACAGATTTCGACTAAATATGCCTGAAATCTGTCTAGGATTTCAGGCATATTTAAATCTAGTATCCATAATGCTAATGTTATGGTTCACTCTTTTCTTCCGGTTTGTCTTGTCCTGACAGTGACAAACCTCGTATCCTGCAAAAAATCCATAGCTTCCCCCTTTGAGAAATTAATTACACTAATATTTTGAAACTAACTTCAGTGTGTCGAGCTGACGTTACGCTGAAAAACACCCTTAGCCTTGTTGCTAGCGCTAACGTTAGACTGACCGAGCAGATAGTCGAGTGACGTGACACCGGTCGAAACTAAGAGTTGTCCATTTTGAACCGAAGGTCTGGTGCCAGGTATGGAGATTAACTTGCTCCTTGTTTTCTTCTGAAAACTTGTAATATTGAACGGTGAACGTTCAGCCGAGGGTTTACCCACACTGTTCACGGGAGCTGCCATACTGCTTGTAACGTGGTAACGCCTGTTATTGTTTTGGAGCGCGTTGTCCAATCAAAGAAGACTTTGGTGGTGCTCGACCAATGAGGGCAGCGATTGTTGCAGAGCCGAGTGCGCAAGCTGCCAAAAGGAAGTTCAATTTGTTATCATCAGTGCATGGTTGGAGCATTGAATCACTCAGTAGGTGAGTAAAGATCTGTTGATTACGAGGTCATTTGTTATACCGTTGTCCTGTTTACATAAACGTGAGTTTATGTGTTCTTGACAATGGCCAGCAGCTATACCATGTCTAAAAGTCACCTAACGTCTGCACTTGTGCCGATATGACCTTGTTGGTTCATAGCACAACATTACAGAACCCAGATATTGTTTTACAGAACCAGCAACTTCGTTGACAGCCCATTTCTTGTTTAGCAATCAGAGTAGGGCTAACTACAATCAGTTACTGTTTAATAATAAGTTGAACAAGCTGCTCTTGTTGTATGGGTGAGATTATAGGGTGCATTTATGAATGGGGGAATTATGATCAGTAAGCAGGAATCAGTCCACATTAATTGCTACAGTGCATAATGGATTGTTTTTCCAAAGAAGGGGCATAGAATCTGCGTTTTAACAAACAACAACAACATGTAAATTAGTGACATTACTCACATCTGTATGTAAAGCAGCCAAAACTGCAAGAAAGTGGACTAGTCTAGAGGTTTGCCTTTATGATCGACAGTCTTTGCAAATGTTAAATATAAAAGCAAAAAAAAATTAAAAAATAGCAAATTACAATCGTTTTTTTAATGTTCCAAACCTTAAAAAAGAACAGAAATGCTTGTTGCCAGTGTAATAATGGCAAATGGCAAGTATACTGTGATGTTGGCTGCAGTATAAAGACAAAATACTGTATATAGTAGGCTACTGTGCTGCAAGAGTATACAACTATAGCTGCATTGATCATTTTTCCCACCACTATTTTATTCTATTCTATTCACTGTTAAGACATTGCCTTTGTACAAACAACATAAATGAATATGTAAATATATTAAAGTTGGATTGACATAAGCATAAGAAGCATTTTTGTTGTATTTGGTGAAATTCACAGTTTCTCAACATCTGTAGCTGTCACAGAACTGTAATAAGCACAGCTGGCCTACCTGCCTATCCGTGCACTCACTGCACATAAAAATGTGTTTTGAGGGTGGCCTGAGGGAAGACAGTGTTTTTTCAGTTGGATACTCTAAAAATCTAACAATCTCTTGCTAGTTTCTCCAACGTTGTCTACCCCAGCTTTAACTTGCATCCTTAGGTCATGGTAGTTCTTATGTAATGCAATATAATGTAATAAATAGTTCATAAATTGCAGTTATAAAAGTACATCATATTAGAGCTGCTTCATGTGCCTATGACCGTGGTAGCTGCTCTATGTAAATTACTAATTTTCAGCTAACAATGAATGAGGATCCCTGTGTGTCACTTTCCCAATCACATGCAATTTGGAGGGCTCAGCAGGTGTAAAGGGGAAAGGAAGAATGCTCGGAGCACATTTGAGATCCAGTTGTACTCTTCTTGGAATAGGAAAATGGTGAAAAATCTAACATTTTCAGAAATGTTCTATTTTAAACCCACAACAAAATTATTGTAGATTTTATCATTGTTAAAAAAAGATGTGTTTAAGTGCAGTAATTACATTCTATATAATGTTTTACTCAGAGTTGTCCAGAATACACTCTTTTATCTAGAATGTGTTATTAAGATTACTTAAAATATCAAATTAGCATTCAAATATGAGCCTTTTTTACAACACAAAATCAAGTATTGCAACAGTAGTAATGCAGCACTCTGCTCAGCAACTAATAGACCTATTTCAGGTGGATCATAGATAAATTGCCTTAAGCTGCTTTGATTACAAGGTCCTGGTGTGTACTGTGGCTTGCTGTGACACCATCATGGGACACTTGAACATAACGGAGCCATTGTGAACGTTATAACACCTGTGCTTCCTACTATGAAAAGTCAAAATGTCTGCTGTGAGAAAGGCCTATTGACGATGGAAACCTCTTTCACATAGCTCAGTGTTTTGTCAGATTAGACAAACCGCTGGCAGGGGAAAGACCAGTTTCTTTTTTACTATGTCCACTATTAATACTGGATGACTGACGAGTGTAATCCTTAAGACAGCTGTAAAAAAGCTTTGTGTGGCACAGAGAGGCCAGAGGCAGCGCAAGATCACAGGATACTGTAAGGCTCTGGAGGAAGCAATAGCCCAACTGCTCACTTTACAAATGCTCTCAGCAGAGGCAGTCCTGCTGTTTTGACAGCACTGTTGAGATTTATGTGTGCTGACAGGAGACCAAGGGAATATATCATGACTGACAACACTGGACATTGTGGAAAGCCTATATGAGACAAATAAGATGCGCTGACTGACCGCCATCTCAGACGGAGAGCCTGCTTCACCAGTGCAGTGTGCAGGATGTAGGAGTACATTGCTGTGGAAGCTTTGTCCTCAATCTCTGCACAGTCACCTGATGCACAATTCAGTTTGTGGTAGTGTAAACACAGCAGCCTAATTGTACAAAAATAATTTCCCTGCTTTTTCAATGTGTCATCTGTGCATGTGTGTGTGTTTTTCTGCAGTGTTTTTTTTAGTTTTATCAGTCTCTGTATCTGATTGACCTGCATAATGGCAGTAGTCATAACATGTCAGACATTTCCTGGTCAAACTGTTTTGGTTTCGTCAGTTTAATTCTGAGAGCAGTAGACTTCATGTGTCCGGGGATGTAAGATTATCATCAATGCACCATATTTGTTTTGTTAGCATTGAAGGTAAAGTAATATTCTAAGGGCACAAGTATAATAAACATAGGATGGGTTTAGTATACAGTTAATTTTGTATAAGGATTGGACTTTTTCCATTTTCAACATTCCATATTTTTAATAGCTTTATTTTGACTTCCTGGGATTTGTTTTGCAGATGTTGCATGGAATACAGCGAGCCATATTTAGCTCGACCTATTGGATAGAGGAAAAAAACAGACAATGAAAGAAATACACAAAACATGCTCATTTAGAATGAGGGCAAAGGAAATCACATTCTTTAAAATCACAAGCTCGCTTTTAGGTGGAGGTGTCTGTCATTAGCTAGTGTTAAAATAAATCAGGCTTTGTTGCGAGCTGATGAGAGCAAAACACAAACATCTTTGTGAATCTGATACAACACTAAGATAAGATCTCTCAATTCTCTCAGCACCAGGCCAGCACCATACATTCGCTTGTGGTCAATACAATAAGGCTTAGTGGCTGATTTTTCCATTCGATGTAATTGGCTGGGGACTCTGTCAACCCACACTTCCTTTCAATTCATAGCAGTTGTATTCATATCACTTGGCTATTATTTGTTCTGGCTGGCCCATTGATTGTAGGTTTAAACCCTCATCTCCTCAAATAGTAACCTCGCTCAGCTGTTTCACGGCTGTGTTGCCATCAGCAACAATGAAAAGAGCAATATGGACATCAGTTGCTTTAATTAAGCCTCTGATAGAAGGCAGACCTAGAAAAGATGAGGGCTAGACATAGTACTCTTTGACTGGGACTTTTACATCTGTCACTCCCCATCCAGCCAGGTGTCTGTGTCTAAATCAGCAGGATTATCTCTGATTGGACTGATAGTTGAAACAGACCCCCCCAGGTTGCCAAACCTCCTCTTTTTTTATAGCTCACATTAAGATCAAATCAAGCTCTGCGCAACAGGACTAATGCCCCTCCCTCCTCTGCCTTCTGCTGCCCAGAGGAAGACATCAGAGGTGGGATTCGTCCCCTCTCTGGTGCTGCCTGCTCCTCCAGACTCCCTTCCATCTGGGATCCTCAGGGAGAAGAAGGATATCTGACAAGGGGCTTGTAAGCCTCTTAGCCCCCCTGTTGCCCAGCTCTCTCTCAGCCCATGTTTTCCTAATTTAGTGGTGTAAGGAGTCCACTGCAAGGCCCTTATGCGCTGTTTGGATTGAGATTCTCTTTGTGGTTCTAATAGACTGGCCATGTATATCAATTAACACTACTCAGCCAATGGCAGATTCAAATCTCTTGAGACCAGTAGCGGTAATTCCTTTTTGAATATTTCCTTATGGCTTCAATAATGTGTGTTTAATTAGTTAACAATTTTGATATGCTTTTATTGACTTCACTTTATTTTCCTCCTCCTAACTTCTACAGAAAAATATCAGTATTACAGTTGTGCTAATTTGAATCAGAATGTTTTTTTACGTATATTATTTCATAACGTATATTAGAATATACGAAATGTTTTCATATAATTCTTAATAGAAACTGTAATGACATTAGCGATAGTTATCTTTAAATAACAACCTTTTTAAGAAATGTCGTGTTCATGCATTGGCCACCAGTCTTGATTATATGACTATTTCCTTAAACATTAGAATATTGGCAAGGTCGTTTCATCTTGTGGAAGCGGCCCATTTGATGGTATGAAAGAACAATAACAACTTATCAATTTTTGAGAGACTCTTTCCATTTTGTCGCTGATGCATCTGTCATAGCGACGTTCAGGAAGCCTCTTTATTCTACCTCGTTCACATTTTATTTTTGCAGTGTCTCAAATTGTACACTCAAAATACTTTTGACAGTTGGGTGGACACCATAATGGGCTGCACTTTGTGCTTTCCCCCCCCCCCATTCATCTGCTTGCGATGGCTCTGCCCTGAGTGAACGGGGCTCCCTCAGTAAGAGGATCACAGAGTTAAACACACAATGAGATGTTTCCATCGGCAGCTATTCATTTGGGATCCCCCTCTTTTCCCCACTGTAGCGCTGTGCTGTCACCACGGGAGGCCGGTGGCCACAGATGGTTCTGCGGAGAGGGCTGCACTGACTTTCTTTGTTTTCCCATGAACATGTTTGGCGTGTAATCCTGGATTAACAGGGAGACTTTGTGTTAATTTACAGCTGTAATACAGCATTCAATTAATGTTGATACTACCCCAACACACACATGCGCTGGGTATTAGGGGGCAAGAGATAGTGTGGGTTGCCTGACTCTTTGCTCAGGGGAATTAGAGGTAATAGAGATCCAATCAGAGGTCTCTGTGGATGTCCACCTAATTCTGATTCCCAAAGGAGTCACTTTATATACACTTTCTATGAAACACATAGGTAATGCCATTGTCTGTGCACATTCACACCAAACACGGACACACACAGGCACCAACTATCAATGACAGAGGGTGCCTCAGAAAACCAGGCGGCTGCATATGGACTCTCTTGATATCAGTCACTGGCTGTGTGATCTTGTTATGCAAAGTCCCTTAATCCCTACCTATGATGAATGCACGCTGGAATGGAGGGGGGAGCTGAAACCAAGATATGAGGGCAGCTGTAAGGGAGGCCATCCACTGCGCTTTGCGAATGAGTGCTAGCAAAGAGATTCCTGATCCCCAGCCTAGCAGAAGGAAGAGCACATGTGAGATCATGTCAAAGAGTGCATTACAGTGCCACAATGACGCGAGATGCTGGTGGAGGAAGCTGAGAGCAAGACAAATAGAGCTGAACATGTCGCCTTAGTGCAGACCTGATATTCACATTAACCTTTGGACCGCTTGCTTCCCAACAGAGGAATTATAGGGCCAGAGGTGGTATTGTACCATCTGTGGCAGGACTGAGTTTATAGTTTCTGTGGAATAGAACAAGAGACCAGAGCAGGCTGTGACTGGAAAGGGGCACGTCATTTGGACCCTGTGCTGAGCGTATCTGTCCCCCTTCACCTGCCCGGGCACTGCCTTTCACAGTGGCGGCAGTAAGCAGAGGGTTGCCAGGGGTGATCAGGGAAGAGAGAGAGTAGCAGCACACAAGGAGGTAAAAGGATGGAGTTGGTGTTTTTGGATCAGAGACAACGGTGATTGGGCCAAAGAGACAAACCATGCTAGGGATGAAAGAATAGATAGAAGGTTTAATAGGTGGAATATAGTTGGCATGAATGCAGTGTGTGTGTGTGTGTGTGTGTGTGTGTGTGTGTGTGTGTGTTTGTATGTGTGTGTGTGAGAGAGAGAGAGAGGCAGGGGGTAATGGGATTAGGGGTAACACCTTTGGCAATACTGGGAGAGCCACCTGACACCCGGTCTGTTGGGGACCTGGGGAGAAAGGGGGATGGAGGTGGTGGGGCAAGGGAGAAATTGGGGGTCTAATCCGTGTCCATCTTTGGGAAGTCATTCCCAGAGCTCTGAGGATTTGGGGCTTTGGTTTCCGCTCTGCTTACTTTGGTTAATAATACCCTGGGAGGGAGAGAAGACATGGAGAGAGAAAGAGGGAAAGAGACAGAAGCAATAGAGGAGACTGAGAAAAAGATTTCTTTACCCTCTGGTGGAGTGGCAGGACAGCGGCCTGAGCTAAAAATGTTTGAAGTACAGACTAACCTCTAAGCCAAGCTGTATCTATTCTTTTCTAAACATACATTTTCAATCTGTTTGTTTACTGTATATGTGTGTGTGTCTGTGCGTTCGTGTGTGCGCGCGCAGGTGGGCCTGCGTACACTCTGTGCAGGACAGTGTGTAAAGATTGACTTACTTTCTTCTGTCCATCCAACAGGTTGCACTGTGTGTAAAAGTCAATAACCTGAGTGTGGCTGGGATGTTTGCTCAGAAGACACACGGATAGTGTTCTTGCTTGTGTTTGCAGGGCGGGTGGGAGGGTGCTGGGGGTGTCTTTGTGTTTCTATGGTGCTGACAGAAGTTGATAACTGCTCTAATGATTGTGTTGGTAGTGAAGGCAACACAGTGTCAGGGACTAGCTGCAGACGGCGCGGAGCTGCTTGGCTGGATGTGTCACAGCTTCTGTGTTTGTCCATCACCTTAGCGCAAGGTGTTGATTGGTCCATCCTACACAGGATCAAAGTTCAGGGCAGTTTTCTGCTGTGAACTGGCCGCTCAGCCACTGAGAATGAAACACCAGGGAATGTGCCATCTTAGCAGTAGGCCAACTGTGACAACCTTGTCCACACCTTTAAAAATTAAACCCCAAACAGCTTTTGTTTTCAGAAATCCTATGAAGGACATAAGCCTACCATAAATGGATCAGGCACAGAATTATTTCCTCACCACTGTATGTACAGAACATTTGATCACTGTGTACATTGCATCATAACCTATGGTTGTGTTTTATGCTGTAGGTGGAAATGTTCCGCAGTGTGCTGGTGAAGACCTTGGGGTTTATAGGCTACACCGTCCAGTATGGGTGCATCGCACATTGTGCCTTCGAATACATTGGAGAAGTTGTTGTGGTTTGTATTATTACGATTACTGGATTTATCGACTGAATGAAATATTTTTATTTTTATTTATATTTACTCATCTATGCACAAGAAATAATTGTGTGTGTGTGTGGGGGGGGGTTGTGTTGTTTTGCTTCAGTGTTCTGGTCCATCCATGGAGCCCACCATTGTCAACCATGATATTGTCTTCTCTGAACGGATGAGTCGTCAGCTTTGCAAAATACAAAAGTGGGTTCCAGTCTGTGGATTCATATGCAGTAGGCGAAAAGTGGACATATTTACCATGTTGAAATAAACAGATCACAATTTACTTTTTTTTTTTTTATTCAAAGGAGTAAAAGAAAAAATGGCAGTGTCCTACAAATATCCATCATAGATAACACCAGATATTTTTCATTTTCTGTGAATGTATGCATCCTCAGTTGTTACAAATGAAGTGATTATGTTTATATTTTTGTTTCAGGGGTGATATAGTAATTGCAAAGAGCCCATTTGACCCACATATGAACATCTGTAAAAGGGTAATTGGATTGGAGGGTGACAAGGTCTGCACAAGTTCCCCATCAGATCTGTTCAAGACCCACACATATGTGAGTATGTCTAAGTCATACAAGCTCATGTTCGTTTGTGCTTTTCAGATGCTCTTCTTATATATCATGTGATTACCTGCTTTACCAAAGATGGTTCCAGATGGCAGTTTTACTGTTTAGCTTCCAAAATCTACAGTCTCTTTGGAAGAAAAAAGGTTTTAAAAACAGTAAAATCAACAATGAATGAATGAATGAATGAGGAATGCGTTTACAACAAAACACTTGATAGTTTGACAGAATCCCTATGCATAATGCAAAACCATCTCTCAGTTTTTGGTTTTCTTTGTGTGTGTACTGCAGTCTATATACTATCATAGTTGTTTACATTTGAGACCGTACACTTCCATTTTGTGTCATTGGTCAAAATATCAGTTTTTGACAACACCTATATTTCCTCAGAACAGTGATAAAACCAGAGAGTGAGCAGGGGTTCTGCTGCTGAAACCACTGTCATTGCTTTTCTATTACTACTCTCCCCAACGCCCATAGCTCAGGCCTGCAATCTCTCTGAAGCCTGTTAGAGTTAGTGCCAGCCGAATGGACAGACTGATGGGTGGGCGTAGGTGTGTGTGTGTTTGTGTGCGTGCACTTACATCTGCAAACCAAAGGTTACGTTTATGTTGCACATTTCTGAATTTCTTGTGTATTTTATAGAGTATTGGCATATATATATATGACTATTGAATGAGTTCAGTGAAACATAGCATAAGGCCAAGCCTTTAAGTGTCATTCAAAATATAAAAATAGGAAGTAAAGATGTTTCCTCTTCTACTAGCTTCACCTCCACATGAACTAAGTGGAGCTGAAGCTGAACTAGGTAATAGGTGACATAATTTCTTTATGATTCATGATCTCAGGATGTAGTGACAGATGTTTCAGTTTGAGCCATTTTTAAACGTGCCACCAGGTGGACGGCTACTATATTTTAGTCTGTCCATCAAGTTTAGGATAAAAGTTATTGGCTTCCATTCATTTTGGATGCTCCTTCACTTTCATCTACTCATATCTCACAGCTAGCTAAACTAATCAATTGATGACAGTCTACCTGGTGGACATGTAGTATGTTTCAGGTCACTTTGTATATCTAAAAAACTGTTCATTTATTCATCTGTTTTCTATATTCAGTTAATTCCATTAATTATACACATGGTAAGTAAGTAGTAGGAGTCCTTAAATCAGGGTGTCTGAAACTTATTTTAAAGGGCTAATTTTGCAACAATGTGAGCCTCTTTTATGACGTTCTAAACGAAACACATTTATGCATTATGTCTTTAACCATAGATCGTAGCAGGTTATCACTCTTTTTGTCTGTGTGTACTCTGGCAACTTGACTCAAATTTCAACTTTGAGGTTTAAAAAAAACAGTATAATATTGCATAATTTAATACAAGCACAATCTCGGAAGCAATCGTCTATAGCCTGACACCGATTTAGCCTCTGCGGCTAAAGGCCAATTTTTTGTGGTAATTGTGTCCAATTAGCAATCTCAGAACCCATTGGCTATTGTTTGACAATGATTTGAATGCAGATACATTTTTAAAAGCTAATTGATAAAAAGCTAATTCATCAGCAGATGATAGCATTTTGGTCATGTGTTCTGCCTCTTTGTTCTTCACCCGAACTGTTTAACTGCATGCAACCAAAGCCTGCTCTGACATTATTGGTCAATACTACTCACACTACAGTTGGACTACAAACAGCTTTGTTTACCAAATTCTTGTCCTTTGCCTACAGACTCTGCATTCATATGCAGATATCTATTTATAAAGATTAATACAAGGCCTTTGTTCAGTCAATGCATGCGGCGAATCAAACAGTTCAATGTGGTTTGGTTTAAAATAGTGCTGCATTTACCAATCAGCATCAATCAATCTGTTGCTGTTGTTTTCTTGAGTAATCAAACACTGGGCAAAAAATGCACAACTTCTAGGAGCCCACGGGGTTAGTGTTTTCTAACCAACAATCCAAACCTCACAGAAACTTAGGTTACAATGATGTTAAGCAAAGAAAAACAGCAAATCATCCCATTTGACAAGCTAGAAACATATGATGTTTGGCATTTTTTGCTTGGTTTAACACCTGAAACGATAAGCCCATTATCAAAATTGCCGCAGATTAATTTTCTGTCAAAATAAACAATAATTTGATTAATTGACAAATTTTTTTTCCCGCTGTGTTGTGTATATATTATCACCACATCAGGCTGTTGACTATTGTTTGTCACCACGCATGCTGCTGAAATACTCCTTATTTTTAAAAATGTAAAACTTTCTAATCTGAAAAAGTATTGATTCCTGGCACTGTGGCGTTGTATTTCAATGACACATGAAATTGGTTACAACCCTACATGCTACTGGTATTCATATTATTTGATCAAATGATTATTATTTTTTGAACACAGTAAAATAATGCAGGACTGAAAGTGACATTTGTAACATTCCAACATAAGAGCTGGAAACTCTTCGTTCACTAGCACAGGCAATGTACCTGGATTTTCTTTGTTATACAGTAGTTGAGCTCACAGCAGGAATAGAGAGGTGAAGACCAAAAAAAATACTAAAAGATACTTATTTTCAGGGTGGGACAATTCCTTCATTTCACACTGCATTTATAGGCATAAGCAAGTGAGCTTTTGCCTTACTTTTGGTTGCCTGCATCTTGAAAAATATAGGAAAAATTGCATGTGTATTTGTATTACTTTGCTACTTTAAGCTAACACAATTTCAGCTTCACACACAAAGCAGGTGAAAGGCTTGAAATATCCACTATGCTAGTCTTTGCAAAGCTGATTGTCACTAAGCATTTCTGTATATCATGTGGCCTAATATATATGCTTTCCTGTGTTAATCTTTTTAACTCCCAGGAGCAAAATCACTGGCTTTATCTGACAGCATTTGATATAACTGAGAAAATACCCGCTGTTCACATAAAGGTTTGGGCTCCCTCAGGGAGTTTTTCCCCCCCAGAGGATGTATGTGTTTGTGTGTGACGATTAAGATGGTATGAGGCATTATGGGTGGACCTGTAAAGATGAATTTTGGAAGGCCATGTTAGACCCTGTCATCACCTCGTTTTTTGTTCTGACAGACAGGCAGGTCCTCTCCACCCTCAGAGATCCAACAGCCGACTAATTGCGCTGTCACCTTTTAGGAATCATTTCTGTGTCTGAGCTATTGTGTCAAAACAATGACACTTGATCCCTAATATTATAGCAAAAAGGGCGAGAGAGAGAGGGTGACAGAGAGAGAGATGAAATGTCCCCATACGTTCTGTTCTTTGCAGTAAAGATAGACAGAGTAATATGCTGAAAGATGACCTCTGTAAGCCTGTATGTATTTAAGTTGAACATAATTCACCACCTCAATCATGTTAACATAATGAGCACTGTAATGGTGTGGCTGTTAAACAACACACCTCCACAGAGAGGAGAGCTCCAGTTTCACTGCTTCTCGACACGTCTCTGACAGGTACACAATGCGTCGTGTCGACCCAGCCTACAACCGCAGGACGTGCGCAATTCCTGCCATCCATCACGCCAGAGCCGCTGGCAGAGCTGATCAAAGTGACTCCACATCTGAATCTAAATTCTACAACTCTGTGTTGGGCCCGCCAGGACCTTTGGAAAGACATGTGATGGGAAACAACATCTGTTTCATCACATGTTGATACTGTTTATGTGCTAAAATGACAAATGACTTTGGTATCTCCACACCACTCTGTCTGCAGAGAAATGTCCTAAACACAACATGCAAAAAAAATCAAGTAATGTTCGTGCTTTTATGGCAGTAATTTACAGGTGCTCGAAACAGCAGTCGAAAAAAAGCAGAGTCAAGGATGGTTCATTATCTGCAGCTGCTTTGCATTAACCTAGTTTTAATTTAGAGGTTTGCTTTGACTTAATATGGGGGGGTGTTCTTTGTTTTTGTCATTGTTCACACACCTGCGACTTGCAAGGTGATATGCATAAGCTTTTGTCCTCGTTCTGGCCACAGTACAGCAGGTCACGTTTCAGACAACTTTCTCACTTTTCTGAAATACTGCCCGGTTGATCCTTTAGCACTTTAATAGCACTTTTGTCTTTACTCAGGTTTGGGTTTCTCTATGAGGTCACATGTTTTATGGGATTCTAAATGAAAGAGGTTACTTTTGCTGTTGTCGATCAGATTGATTGACCTTAGTGGTAGTAGTTTTGCTCGGGTTGGATCCTGAATAGAAGTGATGTCAAGAAAAGCTTCTACCTTTTTAAGAAAGTAACTTTGCATATGCAGGGCTTGTCAGTTCTTGACAGACAAAATGTCTTTATCAATCTTCTACTTATTTAGGATGAGCACAATGAAAATTATGTTTTTTAATAGAAGATGAGGAGAAACAGGGTTCTGGTTTGGCAGATGACAAACGGTGGTGTTTCTTTTTCCTGTGCTTGGGAGCCAGCATATGTTACCATGTTAATGAGGTGTAATGGTGGGAATCCAGCATGCTGACATATGGTTCTCAGATGACTCCTTTAATGATATTCATTTGTGTCGTCGTTATTCAGTGAGTTGTTTACCTCATGTTAGGTCAACATGTCACTGGCTCGTGATTATGTCACATCATCTGTCTCAATTATCGAATATGAAACAAAACCCTGCATCTCACAGTTGGACTGAAGACTCTAATCAGAGAGCCGGGTGATATAGGAATAAGGAACACGAGGCAGAGGCGAAGACATGACGTCGCTTCAGTGTGGATAATAATCTGTTTCTTCATTCATGTTATTCTCTTTCCTCCAGAGGACTTTTTGCCGTTAAAAAAGTTAGGCAACACAAAAATAGACTCGTGGATTGTGATGCCCATTATGACAATATAATGTGTTGTTGATCCTGTCTGCACATATAGGGGGGACAGCGCACTTAATTAGGGCCTTGACAAGCCTACTCTCCTAAAGTGATGAGATTAATCATAATTGGTGTCACTGTGAATTAGAGCCCGCATGGATGACCGCCCCACTGGCAGGTCGGACCGCGGTGGAGACCCTTGGACACTGCTGCTAGCCGCAGTTTAGCGCTCTCTCTCTCTCTCTCTCTCTCTCTCTCTCTCTCTCTCTCTCTCTCTCTCTCTCTCTCTCTCTCTCTCTCTCTCTCTCTCTCTCTCTCTCTCTCTCTCTCTCTCTCTCTCTCTCTCTCTCTCTCTCTCTCTCTCTCTCTCTGGTCCCTCCCTTGCTTAGCTCTCCCTTGGTAAGACGGGGCGCAGAACTCAGCCAACAGCCTAATGACCCCGTTTGAAGTTCTTCTAAATCCCTCCCAACCCTGCCCGTTACCCATGACCCCTCTCTTAAGATGGTTTGGGGTTAAAGAGGGACAGGAAGGTTGACGTTGAGATAGGCCGAGGAGGGAGGGATAGCTTATGCGACTCATTGGGGGTAGGGGGCGGGGTTAATGTAGATTCTCACTACATTATATGTTAACTCACTTTTACATGTTAAAGTTATGTAGTACTGTAATTTCAGAGATTCACTTTCTATTTGATTCCTTTGTTGTGTGGCAGGGGGGTAAAACGGTCAACCTCTTAATCATTTTTTGCCATCTTTGCGTGTGTGTGTGTGTGTGTGTGTGTGTATGTGTGTGATGTTTTTAGGTTCCGAAAGGCCATGTATGGCTAGAAGGGGATAACCTTAGGAATTCCACTGACTCAAGGAGCTATGGCCCAATTCCCTATGCCCTCATCCGAGGGCGTGTTTGTTTAAAGGTAACAGGGAAGGTGTACTGTTTGTCATATTGTTTTTTTTTTTTAATAAGAAATGTGTTCTTTTCCAAAACTACTTTTGATTTTACCTCTCATATATAGGTTCTAAAAGTGTTAGATGTTGAGCTTGTGGTCGAGCCATCTATAATGTTTTTCTTCTTCATTAGTTTTTTTTATTATATGGCCACATTAAGTACAATTTCAGAGATGTGAGTCAGTTGGAAGTTCAAAGCAAGTGTGTCTCGATTGACCGAAGCCTGGACAACATATTGTCTAGCTTTCCATTCTGCTGTGTTGTCATCTCACTGGATGTCATAGCAACCACGACCCTGGAAACAGGTCAGCCAACCTTCTGTCCATCTGATTGGACGGCGGCACTCCACTGGAGGCCCTATTACGGCAACTGATGAAATAACAAGATCTTCTATGAAATCAAACACATCATTAAAAGCCATATTAGCAAATATGTCCAAGAAGTGCGTGAAGTGTTGTACGTAATGGAGTTACACAGTCTATTATTTTGTTATTATGTGAGTCTAATCTCTCTTTTAACCCATTGTTCCTCTGTGCCTTTTGTCCTATACAGCTCTGGCCGCCACATAGTTTTGGGACCCTCACTGAAAGCCCAACCAGACGGATCATTAAAACTCAGAGTGACTCAGACTCTGATTGACTCATTCACCTTGTTTATACCCCACGTTACTTTGTTTTCAATCATTTGTGAATAAAGCTGGTATTTATTTAAAATTTTATTTTAAGGAGTGGTCATTTGTAATCAGGCTGATATAATCAGGCTCAGACCCAATATTTAAAAGGTGTGTTTCTGTGGAAAAAACACTTTGCAATTATACGTGCTTCATCTCTACATACATTTTCCTGTTTTATAACTGACGCCCTTGTCATCTGGGACTTACAGTGTGTTGGCTGTAGCTGTGCAGCATTGTAGGATCAGCATTGTGTGAGCAGTGAGAAAAGCTGTGTCTCTGTGGAACTGCTAATGGCAGAGAGTGGGCAGAGGACTGAATCATACTTAACAGCACATACATTGGGCATGATTTAACTGTTTAATTGAAGTGGTTCTGAAATGAAGCTAAACCACATATTTGCAGGATGTTTGTACATGTGCTTTAAACAGGGATATCTGCCTAAATCTACAAACTATGACTTCGGCAAAGACATGTCTCATTCCCTTAAAAAAAGATGTTATTAATTTCATGTTTACCCTTTCTTAGTATTATTGTAAAACAAAAGCTCTCTTATTTTTTTAATATTTCATTAGGCTGCCAAGGTAATTGAAAACATGTTAACATTTCCCATTTAACCATACAATATTAATAAGCACTTAGTAAGGGTCTCGCTCACCACTGAATACATTGTGTGTGTGTGTGTGTGTGTGTGTGTGTGTGTGTGTGTGTGTGTGTGTGTGTGTGTGTGTGTGTGTGTGTGTGTGTGAGGAACCAAGCTTGAGTCACACACTCGTTATGTTATATGCACTTAAGACAGCTTTATTGTCAGCGCTCTGTAGTAGCCAAACATCATGTAAATGTGGTTTCTGTTATTTAGGCAATGGATTTAAGAGAAAATTGGTGAACGCAGCTACTGTAAATTTCTGCTTAAGAAACCTTTTGGCCATACATGCATTGAACCAGGTTTAGCAAAAGAGAGCAATAACTTGTCATTGTTTATCCAAAATGAATTCATACACAAGCACACACTACAGAGCCTAGAGCAGACCCTAGAGATTAATTGAAAGCAGCAACTTTACAGAAATCTGACCAGGAGTAAATCTTAGCTGCTTGTGATATAATAATTTTTCATCAGTCTGTTGATTCTCACAAAAAGCTGCACATTTCTAAGGTCTGCTCATCCTGCTCAGACCTTCCTGGATACAGGGACATAACAGCACATTCACATACTGAGCTGTGGAAGCTCAGCTGGTCGTTTCTCCGAGGCAGAAAGGGACTCTTCTCCTTAGAGCTCTCCAGGGGAAGTGAGTTCCAGGCAGCCGTGGGTCCCTGTCCAGCTGCTTCCTCTGTCTGGAAGGGGCCAGAGGGTCAGAGACAAGGCTCCCTGTGACACTGAATTATCTGCCTGAGTGTGATTGTGCCTGCTGGGAGGGACGCTCAAGATTGTGTGATCGTGTGCATATGAAAAATATTTATGCAGGGTTTTGCTTCGAGCACATCTTTGTTTCTCAAGGTTTAATATTCATCTGCTGCGTGTCAACATGGTGCCAGTGTTCAGCTGAAATGCTGACACAAGTAATCTTAGCATGTCCCTTTAAGGATACTGCCCCATAGAGGAAGCTCTGGCTGTTTAGTAATGTAACTCAAGCTGTAATAGATTTTTTATGTTTGAAGTAATGCTAACAAGGTTAAAGCTGAAGATTGTAGACTGACACCCCCTCAGGTGTAGTACAAGCATCTCTGTCTTTTTTAGAGGCCAGTGTACCTTTAAAGAGGTCATATTATGCTTTTGGGCTTTTTCCCTCTCCTTCATTGATATATATCCTTTTTTTTGTGCATGTAATAGATTTGCAAAGTGAAAAAGCCCAAAGGGAGTTCCCATCTCCCACAGAAAACACTGCTCTGAACTGCCTGAAAACAGCTTGATTGTAGTCCAGCCTTTTCTTCCACTTTATGCCGACATCACAAAAAACATGCGTCATAATGCTCGCCTAGCGACTAGTCCAACATGCCCTCAAAGGCTACGTTCAGACTGCAGGCCAATGTGACCCAAATCTGATTTTTTTGCACATATGTGTCTCAGAACTGATCTTTTTATGACAGTGTGAACAGGCCAAGTTACATGGAATATGATCTTTTCCAGTTCGGAATTGGGCCACTTCCATATGTGGTCCAAATCTGATACAGATTGGATCTTTTTAAATGCGATCTCAGTCTGGACACGCAGGTCGCATTTGATGCAACTTTGACGTCACTGTAGAGCAGCTGTTCTGCTGTAGACTGAGCCGCGCTGAATGAAAAAGCTCCACAAAAGCCATTACTAAACATGTGGCTCTCTTCCTCTACCTCGCTATCATCTGCTCACAAATTAATTTTCTTATACCTAAAATCCACCAACTTCTGAGTTACTTGTCTGAGCAGACACAGTAGGGAGAGAGAGAGAGAGGGAGGGAGTGAGTTGTGGGGCACTTGCATTGTCCAGCGGCAGAAACCGTAAAGAAAAGAACAGAAAGTTGTCAACACTTGTCATAATTCGGGAGAAATGTGACCCGCGAGAGGACAATGAAAAACGGGAGTCTCCCGCGAGCTAACCGGAGCTATGTTGCTCCTTGTTTACTTCTGCAGCCTGCAACAGCATGCTGCCTGTGATGTAGTCTTATTCTTCTGCGCATGCGGGTCACTTTCAGGCTATGGACATTTCAAACTGGAGTCTGATATGGGCCACATTTAAACAGTATTGTGAACTGTCCAACAAAAAAAAATCAGATCTGGGGAAAAAATCAGAATCGGAATTGAGCATTAAGGCCTGCAGTCTGAAGGTAGCCAGGAACACCGGTGGAAAAACACACTGAGATGCATCACACAGTGACAAGATGTCCACCTGCTGCCTCTCCTCTCCCTTCCAAACACTAGCTACCCTCCAGGCAGTCAATGGACATAAAATTGTTACTGTGATGTAGAGACAGAGCTCAGTTAAAACTTTATAGATGAAAGATACATTTGTTACAGATTAATAACTCTCCACTCTGAAACTGGTGCTCCAGTCTATGTTGCTGAGCTGTTAAGGGGAACATGTACAGCTGAATTGAACCTGTGTTTACAGGCTTCTCAGGACACGCCCTACTCTGCTTCTGATTGGCTAGTAGTCCTTAACTAGGAACTGCGCATGTGCAACTCCCAACAAAGATCTTGTAGAGGTAAGATGTATCACTCCATAGCTAAAAACACACAGGGTGAAAAGAGAAGCTACAGCAATGTGCAGTATGACAAATATAAAAATTTGGTGTTTTTTTTGAAAATGAAACCATGTAAACCTGTTCTGGTACAACCCCTAAATAAAATTATGAACCTGAAAATTAGAATAATATGACCACTTTAAATTTTTACAATTTGTCACAGTTATGCCTGACTAGACTCTTTTCATGTAGTACCTACTGTATGTTTGAGCTGCATATTACTTGAAGTATACAGATATGTCCTGCATGTTGCTCTTGATGTCATTCTTTGAGTTGTGTCAGGAGACCAGAGTTTGAAAGAGATGACCGGGCAGAGGTGTATATCATTATCATGCTGAGTGGGCACAAACTTGGGAGTGAGGCAGGAAGAGATCGAGATCGGAAGAAACGGACAACAGACAGCTGTGCTGAGCTATGCAGCACCACAGAGTCAGGCTGTGGGCTGTCAGCAGGGCTGAGGTGTGTCTGCTGCCTCCTTATGAGAGGAGGGGGTCAGAGCCCAAGTGTATTGTCATACAGTAAAGTACATACAGTATGTAGCTGTATACCTGAAATATCATGCTCAATATCTGATATCATATGAAGCTTGATTACATTGTTATTTCATATGAGTAATTACTGTGGCAAAAAACCCCAACCAGATTTGGTGCTTATGATTTTGAATTCAATATTTTAGCATTTTCAATATCTAATGTAAACACCTATATTACCTACAATTCAACTCAACACCGACACTTTCGTCAGAGATTCAGGTGTGGTATGTTAGTAGCGGCTGAGCTTCAAGCTGCCGGCCTCAAACAGAGATGAGGAACGGGTGTTCTACTGTAACCCCCCCCCCACACACACACACACTTTGTCCTTTTTAAACATGTAGTCTTAAGCCCCAACCAACACTGACTCAAGTGACATCACTTGAGGCAATTTATCGGACTTCCCACAACTCCCTCTGGAGTCACAAAAGACTTTAAACAACCTTTTTCACATATCCAGTAGTACTCCCCAGCACCTTTAAACATACTTCGATGTGAAAAAAATCAACTGAATTCCCCTATTAAAGGAGCAATATGTAAGAATTGAGACTACTCTCCACCTGTTGAATTCATACTCCAAAAAAACATATGGCTGAGTCCAGAATGGGCACCAGAACCAGATCCAGGCGAAGGGGTAACAGAACCAGGCTCAGCACCCTCGCAGTGATATCACGGCCAGACTGGGACCGAACATAGCTTCTGACACAGAGGATAGTCTGACAACATGGAATACAGTACCAAGGTGATTTACAGCAACCAGGAATCTGACTCCAGGGACAGCAAACATACAGCATGGTTCAGGCAGGGACAGGAGAGGTGTTATGCAGGACAAGAGCAAAAGGGAGCTCGGGCATCAGAGAGGCAGCGACAGTGTGTAGAGCCAGAATATTTTCACTCTGTGAATTAAGGGTTTATTTTGACCAAACCAGAGTTGGGGATTCTTGGAACAGTGGAAAGCACGCTAGCTTCAGTAGATATTTTTGCAGGACAATACACAGACGTCTTTGATATAACATCAAAACTGTTATTTCTTCATATTCAGTCGAAAAGTTTGATTTTAGATCAAACTGCTTTCTTTTGTAGGACTTACTTGGTGTCCAAATCCAAGCCAAGCCTTACATTCCCTTTGTTGCTGCTCTGCCACAGTTTGTGCATGAGCCTTTTAAGACAACGGTTTCTCTAAACTACTGTAATCATCCAATTGCATAAAGTGACTAAATTAGCACAGCAAATTACCCTGATAAAGTACCCATTATGAAGTTAATGAACAGTGGCTGTAGGTTTATTGTCTTAGGCTTGT